CAGGACTAGAACTCACCGTCTCCTGGTGATTGGCCCAAAGTCACCCAGCTGCCTTTCATGCCTAAGGTGAGACTAGAACTCACCGTTTCCTGGTGCTTAGCCCAAAGTCACCCAGCTGGCTTTCATGCCTAAGGTGAGACTAGAACTCCCAGTCTCCTGGTGCTTAGCCCAAAATCACCCAGCTGGCTTTCATGCCTAAGGCAGGACTAGAACTCCCAGTCTCCTGGTGATTGGTCCAAAGCCACCCAGCTGCCTTTCATGCCTAAATGGGACTAGAATTCACTGTCTCCTTGTTCCTACGCCAGTACCTTAAACTGGCTTTCCTGGATTGGATGGCCCATAGGCGGGAGAGGCGGGCAGTACAAAAGCCATCCCCTCAGCGTTTTTGGCCAAATTCCTCCATAGTAAAAAAATTGGTTCGTTTAATGAGTGTGACGATTCATTTAACGGCTATAACCACAAAGGTCGTAAAATCGGGTGGGTTACGTCGGTGACCACTTTCACGACTTTGCAACGGCTTACGCCTGTAACGGGCCAGTTCTATTCGGTCATAAGTTGAGGACTCTCTATTATAGGTCAGCTTTTGATGTCACCTTGGGTTAGATGATCACTGTCCCGAGAGAAATATCACAACAGTAGGATGGTGTTGGTCTAAGCAGTCAGGACACCCTGAAAGAGCAAATGGGTTCTTTTAAAAAAATAATCGTCTGTTCGTGTTTACCTTGGTTTGCAAGTAATGCACCCTCGCTCATTCATCCCAAGGTTGCTATGGTACCAGAAAGTGTGTTGTGTTATGTAACCGGCCCCTTTTTGTTATGCAATATGATCTGATTGAATGGCTATCTGGAGTTTGCTGCTCCAGGAGGACAGAGAGAGTGCGCCAGCTGAGAGGGGTAAACATTTACGGAGGATAAATAGATAGATGGTAGGTAGGTAGGTAGGTAGGTAGGTAGATAAATAGATAGATAGATGATAGACAGTAGAGTTGGTTGGTTGGTTGGATGGATGGATGGATGGATAGATAGATAGATAGATAGATAGATAGATAGATAGATAGATAGATAGATAGATTGATAGATAGATAGATAGATAGATAGATAGATGATAGACAGTAGAGTTGGTTGGATGGATGGATGGATAGATAGATAGATAGATAGATAGATAGATAGATAGATAGATAGATAGATAGATAGATAGATAGATGATAGACAGTAGAGTTGGTTGGTTGGATGGATGGATAGATAGATAGATAGATAGATAGATAGATAGATAGATAGAATTGGTTGGTTGGTTGGATGGATGGATAGATATAGGGATGGATGAATGGATGGATAGATAGATAGATAGATAGATAGATAGATAGATAGAGTTGGTTGGTTGAAAGGATGGATAGATAGAGATAGGGCTGGATAAATAGATAGAGTTGGTTGTTTGGATGGATGGATAGAAATAGGGATGGATGGATGGATAGATAGATAGATAAATAGATAGAGTTGTTTGCTTGGATGGATAGAGATAGGGATGGATAGATATAGATAGATTGATGGATGGATGGGTGGAAGGGTGGGTGGGTGGATAGAGGGATAGGGATGGATAGACAGACAGTCAGACAGAGAGAGAGACAGAGAGAGAGATACCCAACCATTTCTTTTACCATGGTTGTTCTATTATTATTATTATTGCCAATAATAATCAATAAACTAATCAAGAAGAGAAGCAACCAGGAATTAAAGAGATATTTTCTGACAGTGAGAACAATTAATCAGTGGAACTACTTGCCTCCAGAAGTTGTGAATGCTCCAACACTGGAAATTTTTAAGAAGAGATTGGACAACCAGGTGTCTGAAATGGTGTAGGGTTTCCTGCTCAAAGCAGGGAGCTGGACTAGAAGACCTCCAACTCTGTTGTTCTGTTCTGTTCTGTTCTGTTCTGTTCTGTTCTATTCTGTTCTACTCTACTCTACTCTACTCTACTCTACTCTACTCTATCCTACTCTACTCTATTCTATTCCTGAATTCTATTCTATTCTATTCTATATTGTGTTCTATTCTATTCGTCAATAAAAACAAAAACAACCCACTCTGAATAGTGGACATTGCAGTACTTGGAGACAGCAGAAGAGAAAGAACTGGAGATCATAAAATACCAGACCTACAAATAGAACTAGAAAGGGTGACAAAAGCAAGCCAAGGTAGTATCAATAGCAAGAGGGACTCAGGGTGCAACCCAAAACATCTGGAGCGCCCCTTGAATACCAGCGGCATTGACAAAATCCCCCTCAGTCAATTTCAAAAGGCAGTTTTATTTGGAACAGCGGACATCCTTCAACATTTGCCTTTCTCAGGTATTTGGAAAGGACTAGATAGGTGGATAAAAATGCCCAATCTAGTCTAAAAACGGCTGGCTGTGTGACCAATAATATAAATATTCTTTCTTGCTTCCTTCTAGTTTTATTTGGCACAGCTTTCAAAAGCTTAATAGTCATTTAGTTCCCTTGTATTATTATTATTATTTTATTAAAATGTCAAAATAAGATGGGTAATTTTATGCAAAGCAAACTCACAATGCTTTGTCAAACAGAAGATTTTCTGTGGAAATGAAATTAAGATGAGCAATTGGGCAATTCCACGGAGATGCCCACCATCAAAATTTAAGCTCCATTCATCTTTTCCTTTGTCGAGGCATCCACTCCGTGTCATCGAATTACCTCTTCAAAATGATACTCTACACCATGCTAAATCCCCTGGCTCGCAAATTTTGTAAGACAGTGGTGGTGGTAAGTGGTTCTTCTTTTATGTAGCAGAGCAGAACTTGGCAAAAGTCCAGAACCAACATTAATTCTTTTAGAAAAGCAGGTTTTCCTGCTCCCTGAAACAGGTGAGATTGTTCTATCTAAACAGTAATTAAAAGGCATTTTATTAATGTAAAATATACCTTGGAGAACTTCTTCAACTGGGGTGAATTGTGGTGAAGTGTGTCGAAGAGGGATGCTGCTATGTGAACAACACACGATGCAGGCGGTTCTCAACTTACAACCCATACTGTGACCATTTGACGTTACAACGGCACTGAAATTTTTTTAGAAGTGTAAGTTGCTCAGAGTCATTTGGTTGAGTTGGGAAGCTCTAGAAATCAAATAAACAGATATATGAAGAATACATGGATGGATAGATAAATAATGGATAGATAGTTAAATAATGGATAGATACGGTAGATAGATAGATAGATAGGGTGTGTGTATGACAGATATAGATAGATGAGATTACAGACAATAGAATAATAGATATAGAAATGGTAGACAGATAGTTTAGTTTAGTTTAGTTTAGTTTATTGTCAGTGCACCTTGTACAACAAAACCAAACACCATCTTCAGTGCACACCATGACCATGACCATAGATAGATAGATAAATAGGTAGAGGTAGGTAGTTAGGTAGATAGACAGACAGATAGACAGACAACCATTATATGGAGATATAGAGATATAGAGATATAGAGATATAGAGATATAGATAGATAGATAGATAGATAGATAGAGGTAGTTGGGTAGTTAGGTAGATAGATAGTCAAACAGACAGACAACCATTCTATGGAGATATAGAGAGATAGATAGATAGATAGATAGATAGATAGATAGATAGATAGATAGATAGAGGTAGTTGGGTAGATAGGTAGATAGCTAGACAGACAGACAGACAGACAACCGGTAGCTAGAGATATAGATAGATAGATGATAGATGGATGGATAGATAGATAGATAGATAGATAGATAGATAGATAGATGATAGATAGACAGACAGACAAACACAGATAGACATAGATGAAAGGGATGATGGAGAAGTAGATAGATAAATAGATATGATAGATGATATCTAGAGTGATAGCTACAGATGTAAACAGATGAGAGAGAGAAATGAGAGAGGGAGAGAGAGAGATGATAGATGAAAGGGATGATAAATAGATAGAGATGATAGATGATGACATAAACAGATGAGAGAAAGAGGAGAGAGAGATGATAGATAATAGATAGCAAGGGAAAGAGAGAGAATGAGAGAGAGAGAGAGAGAGAGAGAGACATAAGTCCACTTCCAAAGGAATAACTTTGTAAGGATAAATGGGGGAACATGATGTACCCAAACAGGGTAGTTTAGAACCCGGAGCTCCATAACAGTCTCATTAATCAGAAGGAATGGCGAAAGGAGCCCCTTGCAAGTGGCTAGTAAACAGATGGGATCTGTCTTGTGCCAATACTCCTGGTGACAAATTAACTCCAGTGAGTAAAAGGAGCCTGAAAATTCGTGAGGAGAAAAGCCATTTGGGCTATTTAACAGTGTGCTCAGATCACTGAGTGCGGCGGAAAAATGAAATGGCAGCTATGCTTTGAGAAACAAGGTGAAGGAATATGGAGCTGTCACAAGGGACCTACGAGGTCATCCAAACCAACCCAGTATATAACCCATCCTGTTCATCCATCTCTCTTAACCACTTTGGTCTAGTCGTTAAGGTACCAGGCTGGAAAGCAGGAGATAAGGAGTTCAAGCCTTAGTCAGGAAAGCTGGATGGGTAGTCGGAGACAATGAGTTCTAGTTCCGTTTTAGGCATGAAAGCCAGCTGGGTGACTTTGGGTCAGTCCTTCCCTCTCAACCCAATCCACCTCACAGGGTTGTTGTTGTGGGGAAAATAGGAGGAGAAAAGTGGCTTGGATATATTTACGTTCTTTGAAGGCAGGGTGTAAATAAAATAAAATAAAATAAATGAAATGAAATGAAATACAAATAGAAATAAAATAAAAAAACAAAATAATAAATACAATAATAATAAACGAAATGACATAAAAATAAATGAAACGAAGTAATAGAATGAAATAGACAAGCATCCCTAAATCTCTTTCTTCTTACAGCTGGTGAAGACCGTGGATTTGGATCCATGCAAGAACTACCTCTTTGGCTTTCATCCCCACGGCATCCTGGTGGCTGGAGCCTTCGTTAATTTCTGCACTGAGGCTACCGGCTTTTCCAAACTCTTCCCGGGCCTGACGCCTCACATGATGATGCTGAATTTGTGGTTTCGAGCTCCCTTTTTCCGGGATTACTTGATGAGTGGAGGTAGGCCCTCCCGAGGTCCTTCCAGATTCTGTTCTATTCTATTCTATTGGAAGCTTTTAAGAAGAGATTGGACGACCATGTGTCTGAAATGGTGCAAAGTTTCCTGCCTAAGCAGGGGGTTGGACTAGAAGACCTCCAAGGTCCCTTCCAACTCTGTTATTCTATATTCTATTCTATTCTATTCTATTCTATTCTATTCTATTCTATTCTATTCTATTCTATTCTATTGTGTTCTT